TAAAGTTGATATTAAATATAATAGTTGTTCTGAACATTATCTCGATTTTTACAATAATTAAATATTTTTATAATCGTTGTGTTCTACTTCATTTAATCTAATCTCGTTAATTCTTAATTCATTTGATTTCTACCACCATTATTACTATTATACTACTTTAGTACTACTTATTACTACTGCTACTACTACTACCATAGTACATATGAAATTTAGAAAGCAATTTTTTAAAGTAAATACAATATAAATTCGTAGCGATTTCTCCTACTTCTAATTTACATAAAATAAATAATGCTTAAAAAGTGCAATATATTGTAATTATTATATTTTATTGATTATTCTTGTGAAGTGAAATAACAAGTTAAACAATTTCTTGGTACTTATTTTGGTATTTCTTTTGGTATTTGATCTAAGCAAAATTTTAAAATGAATAAATTAATATTGTTTCATCGCATCGGAATAGTATATAACGTGTGTTGCGTGTATCGAAGATTATCCAAATATGTAAAAATTTCTTAATATTTTGGTACTGTCCCTAGCTGGCCATAATTTATCAACAGATATCTACGATCGCCCAGATAAATTGCAGTTTACAGCGACCGAGAGAGCATCTGCTTCCTGGGCACAAGAAAGCCGTAATTGTAGAACGTATATATCAAAGTCATTCGAGACACGCGTGAGTTAAATCTCACACCTTCAGATAAAAGCACGGAAGACAGATTGCGTGCAATTATTTCCTAAAACTAGAAATTTTCTCGTTAATGATATACCATTGAACCTAAGACGTCTTCCTTTATATAATTTATTCTGGAAAAAACGATATTAATGACGACTGTGTGTTGCACAAGCTCGTGAACGTTTTGAAAATGTTAAGTACACGTAACGTTTTCAAAATATAAAAATGTTCCTGAAACTCGTCTTCATTATTGATATCTATGCATATGTTATTGGTAGGTACCCAAATTAGAAAGGTAACATGTTAATATATTATTAAAATATGTTGAAGCATATATTATTGAAATAACGTGATAACATAGATATTGTTTGTATTCATTCATACAATTGTTCTAGTAATTATTATTGATATAGACATTGTTTGATTTCTTTCATAAAATTTTTCGTTTACATATTATTGAAATATCATCATTTTATTTGATTGAGGTACTCACATATTATAGAAATAAAATGTTAGCGTAGGCTTTGTTTGCATTCTTGGATAATTGTTCGTGTATATATTATTGAAGTAACAGCAATGAAAATAACGAACTATCATATTGTGCGTTAACTTTTAATAAATGTAAAAATTTTAAAGGCGTGTAGCTCTTTAAGGCACTGAAATTGATATTTTTGATATTTCTCTTTATAATAAATAATAACTGATACACGGAATTAATTCGATAGAAGATAATTAATACATTAACATAGTTATTATTCTGAATGAAAACGATTATTATTAATAATTATTATTAAAAGAGAATAGAAGAATGTACTCGGTGCTAAATCATTAGCGTGTTGCGTGGTTTTCTTTAACGAACTGATATGTATTTTTAATTACGTTTGTTTCGCGCTGCGGAAAAGAGTGTCCGAACCAATTATTATTTTATTGCCTACTATATATCATCATAATGAATACTTATTTTACATACATCAAATTAGCCCTTAATACGCTTTTTTACATTTGCAATTGCGCGGTAATCATTTAAAGTGAGCCTTTTAGATTAAGGATATTTCAGAGTTATTTTTCTTTTTTCATGTAGGTCAAGTATGCTGACGCAAGTGTAAAGTTCAATGACAAGTTTTACGTTCCGTCAACTGGTAGAGTCATGCAATAATAATTTAATGCAACAACATTAAATACGTAGCAAATTATAAATTCAATATGAATAATTTATAGGCAAACGTCAATCGTGGTGATGTACCAGGAATCTTTATCTATTATACAACTATTTTACATTAATTATAAACTAGTTTAATGATGGAAATTAATCACACCTGTTCCGCCGTTATAATGCAAATAATAATTTGTAATAAAGTGACTGGACAGAATTACTTTGTCACTTGAGCATGTAGTTGACGTTCTCCACGTTATAGGCTCTAATCCATCCAACTATAACACATTTATAATTGAAATGATTCTCGTTTGCTACCTTTTATTTGCTGTTGTGATTCTATTCGAATCTTCTGACGATCTTACATACAAACAATTAGTAACTGAATGGTGAAATAACTTTTTAATAGGTTGACTGCATAATCATATAATAAATAAATTGTAAAACAATCCTTTTGTAGATCATATTCATCTTTTTCACAAATCAGATTCACCCTTTTGCAAATAAAATTCACCGCAATAGTTATTTACAAAATTTGATCCAATTCTTCAAAATATGAACGGATACATATACTTACTTTATATATTTACACAGCAACACAAATTTCATAAGAAATAATTAATCTTATTACGTATAAGCGATTTTTATATGCACAAGAATGAATTTGATTTGCAAGAAGATGAATCACGAGAAAAATTTATTTTTAATGGCAAAGTAAATTATATAGCCGTAAAAGTTATATTAATACCTTTAGACCTACAAGAGCGTTAATTTGGAGATCATAAAGGTGAATATGACCTACAAAAGTACAAAATCCAAGTAATACAACTACAAAATGTAGTTAATTCTTTTACCGATACATTAATTACAATAATTATTTACCGACGTGTTGAGTGATCCATATTGAGACGTGGAAGGTGCAAGAAGGATTGGATGACTAATTGCCATAATAAACCGTAGCTTCTCAGTTTTCGTAACATTAAATAAATCACTTTGATCTATGAAACCGTTGCTTTAGCTGATTTAATAGACAATGAGTTGAAGGGTAACGCTGATCCCACCTACCAACAACTGTCGCATTCTTTATTATCATAATTTTCAATGACTCGACGTGAATATTTGCATGCAGAAGTTCACCGTGCCCTGATTTGCCGTGCGAACGTTCTCAAAGTAAAATAAAGTTCCGTAAGGAAAACCGAATTGGACGTACCGTTAATCCAACATTAATTTAACGCGAGGTACCCCGGTTACCCGTGTAACGTGCGAAACGCAAATGCATTATTCGACCGTTCGCATTGCGCAGCGTGAACAATTTTTTGTTGCAGAGCCGACTACCTCTCACGTACTCCGCCACGTTACCCAGATAATTGCGCAATATCAAATCGACCCGCGCTTTAATCGGTCACCGTGCGTGTATCATAACATGTCTGGAAACGAAGAATGCCGGAGAGCAATCTGATTAGCGGAACCGACTAAATCATTTCAGACGATTCAGAAAGAAACGAACGCGGCAAATACATTCACCGGCATCGAACTCGTACATATCTCAAGTGGTGGAATTTGTATTGGATATTTCTGGGCGCATCGACCGATCAAAAATATAGGATACAGAAGAGTGACATTCTGAAACTTCTTTCACTATTTCCGACCGGCGCAATCAATAATAAACAGAATAATAACAGAATAATAAACAGAATAATCGCGCAATCGTGGACAATCTTACACAATAAAAAAACTCGCGAATCGTAAGTTCCATGTTGAGTGTAGCAGTGATACTAATTTAATCCTCTGTAATCTAAATAAACAAGCGAATGTAGGAACGAATCCTTCGAATATAAATTAACAACGAATTTCCTACCATTTAAAAAACGACCATTTAGGGATTCATGACAAAATCCCGCATAAACAGAGTCGCAACGTCGAAAGTGTAATTTTCGTCTTGCATTTTCTAAATAGGTTTATTACAGATGAAAGAGAAAGCAGTACATTTAAAAAGAAACAGATAATATTTTATTAAGAGCGACCCGCGTTCATCCAGCGAGAATTTAAAGAGTACAATTCACTCTGATGTGCGAAGTAAGCTCATACACAAGCTCTTTGACTATGAAGGGAAAACAATAGAACAAGATACGATATTGTGGCTAAAAATTAAATGAAATCGAAAGCATTGATAAATTAGTACGTGACCTCAAGATTAACCATAGAGAGTTGAAAGGTTCCTGGAATAGCAAACGTGCAGCGATATAATGAACGAACGGTCAAGAAACAGAGAAACAGAGCGCGCCAAAATGGAAGATTGTCGCGTTGTTAATCCGAGACGAAGTATTCGGAATCGGGAATCCGGCGACGAGATCGGCGAGCTGGAGGCGGAATTGCGAAAAGCGTACATCGCTAAGGAGTTGCGAGTGCAGCTCGCGGAAAAGTCGACGGAACGGTACATCGAGAAAATGCGACAGCAACAAACCATGAAAATGATGCGGCTGGAGCAACAGACGGCTTTGGAGATGGATCTCCGTCGAAAATCCGAGGATCTCCTTAAGTCCGAAGATTACAGACACCAGCTGACGGAGCAGATAACGAGAAAACAGGAAGAGAAGAGCGTCGCGATGGAGGAAGCACGCAGAGAGAGGGAAATCTTAGCGGAAGTTGACAGGATGCGCGAGCAGTCCGAGAAACTTCGTGGAACGATAGCGAAGAACGAGCTGGCCGAGAGCATGAGACGAGAACGTTTTATACTACAGGAAATGAAAGAGATCCGCAATCAGGAGGAGATGGAGGCCGAAACGAAGAAGCTTTCGGAGGACAAGGTGTATCTCCGCGAAATTGATCGACGAACGGAAGAGGCAAAAAGACTCCGCGTGGAGCAGATACTGAGCAGGGAACGAGCAATGTGCGAAATAGCAAAGATATTGGCGGACGCGAGCGACGAGAAAGAGAAGAGAATGTCGTTGGTCGCCGAGATCATGGAAGCGGATGTCAGACGCGAGCTGCTGATCAAAGAGAAAGAGGCGATCGTTAGGAGAAGGAAGATGAGGGACGATTTGCTGGCTAATTTGGAGGAACAGATCGTTTTCACGGAACAGTGCAAACTGCGCTTTCTTGAGCAAGATATGGCATTCGCGGAAGATATCTTGAGGAAGATTATGGACGATGAGAGAACTGCTAAACTCACCGCGGCGGCTAAACGAAGAATGCAGTTGCAGTATCGCGAAGATTTGACTCGGATGATCGAGGAACGTCGGAGGATTCGAGAGATCGAAATTGCTAAACTGGAGGAGGAAGCGAGGGAAGAAAACATGTTGGAGATGATTCATCGGAGTCGTGTCAGAGAAGAGAGGAAACGATTGTTGCAAGAACATGCGTCCAATGTGGTTGGTTTTTTGGATCAGGATGTTCTCTCCGCTGAAGAAAAGCATATTATGGCGAAGGCCGCGGAGGATGAGACGGTTTCGTAATGTACGCGCGAAATACTGTAAGTAAAGTTAATATTCGGACACCTTTTAAAGTGCAATAACATTTTCCAAATTAAAATAAACAACTTTGAACTAATTATATTAAGCTCGTTCAAATTACATGATGTACGTATACTTAACATTTTATACAGTTCACGATTGCATCTATAAAATTGATACAAATTACTAAAAGTTTTATGAAGGTGTATTTATAATGTTACACAAATTATGTACAATTTATATCAAATTTTGTTCAATTTATACAATTTATATAGAATTGTTTAATATAAACTCATACATATTATAAAAAACTAATACACAAATTATATAAAACAAGTACAATTTATGTAAAACTTATATAAGTTAATTTATAAAATGAATGACTTCTTTTGTAAATATTAGACCGATTAGTTTGCTAAGCAATGAGTACACAAATTTTTGCGAAAATGGTTACAATCGAAAAGAATATAAATATGATGATTATCAAACTTTTTATTTCAGGCTATAGAAAAAATTTGAACAATGTATTTTGTAGATCTCGCGGTGACTTACACTTATAATGTCCTTACGAGCTACAGGCATTGAAAGATGTAAAAATCTCCAGATTTCTTACCATTGTTGATTGAAACTATAGAAGAATCGTAAAGAACTGTGATCTTCGCAATCTTTATAGAGATCGTCGATCTTTATTATCTTTATAATTATTAGTAATAACGACGTCAACCGATTTCGATGATGTTTTCAACATGTATATGAATTACCAATACCTACAAAACACATTGTTTAAATTTTCTTTCTAGGCTAAGATAAGAGAAGTTCAAAAGACATTACTTTTTCATTTTCTTTGTCATTTGAAAAAATGTTCACACATTGTCTATTAAACTAGTCAGTCTATCATGTAGAAAAATGTCGTTCAGAATGATGATCTCGACAACATATTTCAAGGTCGTTGAAATCAAAGGAAGCCCTCACAACTTGTACATTTGGCTAAACTTCGTTCGAAAATAGTTGGAAAACGTCATTTTTTAAATGTTTTTTTTTCATTCAAACCATGTGCAATTTTTGTAAAAATTTGCTTTGTCATTGTCTAGTAAACTAATCAGTCTAATCTTAAAAAGGAAATGCTTTTTTATGTGGTCCAATTTGAAACAAAAATTGTAGCGTTTTAAAAGGTATCCGAATATCAACCTTACTCACTGTAAATGGAGAATATTCGTCATGTACGAAGTTGTATAAGATTTGAATTATAGTCGTAAGAGCGACATTAACATAAATAGCCTGAAACTCGAACGTATTAATAGAAACTGAAATAGAATACCACGGAAGTAATTAAAAACAATTGTCAACTAGTGTTGAATCACACACGTGAAAGTAACGAAACATTTATATATATATATGTGTCACAGTTATGACAAAATTATTAATGCGGGAATCAGACCGGTAATAAAGTAGAACCCAATCAGACGCGCCATATACAAATTGGAAAAATTAGCCGCGTTCAAGTGCCGAGATACTTCGACTGATTTTAACATTTTTAATCTTCTGCTGTGATAGAGACTATTAATCATTGTGTCAGATACCGAGCTGGGAAATTACGCGGTTGAATGACTCCGAGCATTAAAAATTATAGCATCGAGAAAATGTTGTATTATATCGTCATGCATAACGTGTCTCTACCAAACCCTGTAATTAGGGCTCGTTTTATAACACGTAACGTTAAAAATTTTAATTACATCAGTTTGGACAAGTTGATCATTAATACGAAGGAATAATATAAATGATAAAACGTGTTAGATGTGATGGATATTCTTAAATATATGTGTAGATTTTAATGTTGCAGTTATAATTTTTGTACGTTTAACAACTATATCGTAAAATTGGAATCGAGGTTATGGAGAATTGTATTCATTTATGCAAAATAATTTACCATTTACTATGTAATCTCTTTTAAGAAATTCTTTTGTAGCATATGTTTTCATACTTTAATAATTCAGAAGCTGCGATATAAATTTTAACAAATGAATAATTTGTCTTATATTTATTGGAGCAAATTTAATATCATTTAATTAAGAAATTATTATATAAAACATTATTATATAAAACGAAAGCATAAATACTTGTTNTTATGGAGAATTGTATTCATTTATGCAAAATAATTTACCATTTACTATGTAATCTCTTTTAAGAAATTCTTTTGTAGCATATGTTTTCATACTTTAATAATTCAGAAGCTGCGATATAAATTTTAACAAATGAATAATTTGTCTTATATTGAGTGGAGCAAATTTAATATCATTTAATTAAGAAATTATTATATAAAACATTATTATATAAAACGAAAGCATAAATACTTGTTACTAGACTGCGGATTTTTATGCAATATAAAATTTTCGTAAATTAATTACAAGGAACGTAAATTAGATGTATATGTTTTTCTTCTTTTAATAATTTTAGTAAATTGTACACAGTATTAAAAAAAATTCTTCTCAAATTCTTCTAGTGTTT